GTGCTGAATCTGTGTTTGTTTCTCTGCGCGTGCTGAATCTGTGTTTGTTTCTCTGCGCGTGCTGAATCTGTGTTTGTCTCTGTGCGTGTGCTGAATCTGTTTGTCTCTGCACATGTGCTGAATCTGTGTGTGTTTGTTTCTCTGTGCGTGTGCTGAATCTGTGTGTTTGTCTCTCTGCGCGTGTGGTGAATCTGTGTTTGTCTCTGCGCATGTGCTGAATCTGTATTTGCCTCTGCGCGTGTGCTTAATCTGTGTTTGTCTCTGCGTGTGTGCTGAATCTGTGTGTTTGTCTCTGCGCGTGTGGTTAATCTGTGTTTGTCTCTGCGCGTGTGCTGAATCTGTTTGTCTCTGTGCGTGTGCTGAATCTGTGTGTGTTTGTTTCTCTGCGCGTGTGCTGAATCTGTGTGTTTGTCTCTCTGCGCGTGTGGTGAATCTGTGTTTGCCTCTGCGCGTGTGCTGAATCTGTTTGTCTCTGTACGTGTGCTGAATCTGTGTGTGTTTGTTTCTCTGCACGTGTGCTGAATCTGTATGTGTTTGTCTCTCTGCGCGTGTGCTGAATCTGTGTGTTTGTTTCTCTCCGCGTGCTGAATCTGTGTTTGTCTCCGCTAGGGATGTAACGGTATGAAAATTTCTTATCACGATTATAGTGACCAAAATGATCACGGTTATCAGTATTATCACGGTATTGTTCAGATGTGCAGGAGATGTTAAAAAAGTACAGACACATAAATCACTTCAAGTTTTATATTTAAAAATCAACAAACAACAAATAAAATGACTTTTTGTTTGTATAATCACTAAAACAATAACATTACCAATGATGTTCGGATTTTAAATGTTTAAAAGTTTAATAGCATGTTGAAATATCTAATGTAAATGTTCAAATAAAGCTTTGAAAAAGTTTAATAAAAAGGTAAACCTCACATTTCAGCCTTTAAATAAAGAAAAGATATGTCAAAATCATAATTGATTATTAAATGATTATATGTATTTTATCTGCTCCATAAATAATTCTAGATAACTTATCTGAATTGTTTAAATGTGTAGAATCCACATAAGCTTGTTTTTCATCAACTGGTCACAGTATTTATGTATCGCGAGTTGTTCAAATCGCGGTAATCTAATATGGTTTTAATGATAATTAAAAGATGAAACGGTAATACTAACCATGGGGAATTTTATCATGATTTATCGTCAAACGATGCGCGTGTGCTTGCCTCGCGACTCGCGATTGGTCTCTGTGCGTGTGCTGAATCTGTTTGTCTCTCTGCGCATGTGCTGAATCTGTGTTTGCCTCTGCGCGTGTGCTGAATCTGTGTTTGTCTCTGCGCGTGTGCTGAATCTGTTTGTCTCTGCGCGTGTGCTGAATCTGTTTGTCTCTCTGCGTGTGTGCTGAATCTGTTTGTCTCTCTGCGCGTGTGCTGAATCTGTTTGTCTCTCTGCGCGTGTGCTGAATCTGTTTGTCTCTCTGCGCGTGTGCTGGATCTGTGTGTTTGTCTCTCCTCTGCGCGTGTGCTGAATCTGTGTGTTTGTCTCTCTGCGCGTTTGCTGAATCTTGTGTGTTTGTCTCTACGCGTATACTGAATCTGTGTGTCTCTCTGCACGTGTGCTGAATCTGTGTGTCTCTCTGCACGTGTGCTGAATCTGTGTGTGTGTTTCTCTGTGCGCGTGCTGTGTCTGTGTGTTTTGCGGGTGCTGAATCTGTGTGTTTGTCTCTCTGCACATGTGCTGAATCTGTGTGTTTGTCTCTCTGCGCGTGTGCTGAATCTGTGTGTTTGTCTCTATGCGTGTACTGAATCTTTGTGTCTCTGCACGTGTGCTGAATCTGTGTGTTTGTCTCTCTGCGCGTGTGCTGAATCTTGTGTGTTTGTCTCTACGCGTGTACTGAATCTGTGTGTCTCTGCACGTGTGCTGAATCTGTGTGTCACTCTGCACGTGTGCTGAATCTGTGTGTGTTTGTTTCTCTGTGCGTGTGCTGAATCTTTGTGTTTGTCTCTGCGTGTTTGGTGAATCTGTGTTTGTCTCTGCGCATGTGCTGAATCTGTGTTTGCCTCTGTACGTGTGCTGAATCTGTTTGTCTCTGTGCGTATGCTGAATCTGTGTGTTTGTCTCTCTGCACGTGTGCTGAATCTGTGTGTCGCTCTGCACGTGTGCTGAATCTGTGTGTGTTTGTTTCTCTGCGCGTGTGCTGAATCGGTGTTTGTTTCTCTGCGCGTGTGCTGAATATGTGTCTCTCTCCATGTGTGCTGAATCTGTGTGTCTCTCTGCACGTGTGCTGAATCTGTGTGTTTGTCTCTGCACGTGTGCTGAATCTGTGTGTGTTTGTCTGCACGTGTGCTGAATCTGTGTTTGTTTCTCTGCGCGTGCTGAATCTGTGTTTGTCTCTGCGCATGTGCTGAATCTGTTTGTCTCT